GGGGGGGGGGGGGGTGAAAGAGTGACTAGGGCGTACACGGTAGAGGTGCAGACCGCTAGTGTCTTTTACTCACGCAGAGTCTTATCCTATTAGGTCCATTGACCCTCTCTTGAGCCTTGAAGCAGTCAAGCATGGACACACTATATCAGCTGTTGGAGTGGAACCCTGTACAGGTAGGCTCTACTTCTCAGCAGGCACAAGATTCATGTCCACTCCTAGCTGATTGCGTATGTCGCATACTCTTTTCCTACTGCAAGGCTAAAACAGTCCAGCTAGCTCTGACAACTTAAAGGAAACTACGGTGCCATGTACTTATCTAATCCAGTGTGTTTCGCACTTTGGAGAAGATAATCTCATAGCTACTAAATACAGTGAGGGAGCAATAGCTGACTCACCTCAAGTACAAAATCAAAGCGATAATGTACCTCGGCTGGAGACTGTACCTTTCGCTGGCGGAGATACCATGTACCGGCGCTCACTAGCTCTTTATGGCCTGAGCTAAATCAAACTAAAAGGGAAAGCGGCTTTTTCTCTACAGAGACCTATAAAAGAATCAAACGACACTCGCGTAACAAAGAACTAAAAATTCAAGACCGCACAATGCAATGAATTAAGATGCCTTGCAAAATGCAAGGAGCGTACGGTCCGAGGAATAATCTTCTCGTGATGTGGTCTCGACCGCTTTCATTCACAGACAAAATAAACTGCATCAAAAGGACTCTCTTTCACATTCACATCAAAAACACAAGAAGGAGATACCGGCAAATGTATGTACAAAACTTGCACTACAAATGCAGACTTATGAAATGACATAATCATCAACCATGAATGGTTGTCCATTAGAGGTCATCTCAGAAAAGCGACTGTGATAGATATCATCAGTTATGCAAAACTGTCCATACCTATCTACATGCTAAAGCGTATAAACCTGGAATGCAGGAGTATCTTCTTTGATAAAAAGTTTCTCCTGGTTCCAAACCAGAGTTCATAAAAACTTTAGCATGGCAATTTAAAGTCTAATGATGGCTAGGAAGTGAAGATACTTCTGGTTACAGTTGATACCTTGCTTCCAGGCTTGACTTTAAATTTCAGCCTTCGCTCAGGAATTATGCCGCTGCAGACGTTGAAGCTGCTTGATCAGAAGTTGGCGGCCTTCCTTTCCTTTTATTCTGCTTTTGTCTCTCCTTCCTCCGCACGTTCGCTTCTTGAAGCGTTGTTGCTGTGCGATACTGTCTTCTGTCTCCAGATGAAAGGGAAGCTGGTCTGAGTGAAATAAACATTGGACCATGACTGTCCTCGTCAGTGGGCCTTGAGCACATAACCTCTGTATCAATCATAGCAAAGTTCTCTGAAAAATTACAGATGAACTCCTTCGTGCTCACTGTGGAATTTTCATATTCCTCTACACTCATTGAATGACCCCATTCAACAATGGTAGACAAACATGTATCGCCAAGCCTTGATCCTTGGTATTCTTCTTTTTCAACAGTAGAGTATTCTTCCCAGAGTTTGTCAAAGTAGTCTTCACACTTCTTGAGGACCTGTGAAGTTGAACTGTAAAAAGTTCTGGGAATAGGTGCTTTGATACCAGGATCTGCTTGTACACGAGCTTCTGAAAACCTGCGGATCCAATGCTGCATGGTGCTGTAATAGTAGTTAGCCATTGGCTGTCTTTTGTACCCAGACATTCTGTAGGCCAAACTATTTGCATCACCAGAAATGATGTCCACCTCATAGACAAAACACTCGTAAAGCATCAATGCTGTCTGTTCTCCTGTCAGTAGGTGGGCATCCACAGCACGGTGTGTATCAACATGATAATTACAGACTCTGATGGTATGCATGTTCGCTCGAGTAAGTGGAACACGCTTGTCTTCTGGACCATAGTCATCAAATTCAAAGTCTGCATCCTTGAAATCTTGACGAGGCCTTGTTTCTCCAAAACAAATCTCGTATATAGCCCAAGTTACATCACGCTGTTCACAGTGACCAAATTCTTGGTCATGTCCAGCAATGATCTTGACATATCCACCTGGTGCCAATCTAGCCATCACTGCAAGATTCTCCCAATCATTGAAACAAACTGTCCAATTCTTTTGCTCAATAAATTCCTTGGCAGGAACAAGAAGATGAGCTTCCTGGAGAATCACGACATGTGCACGTAAAAAGAAGAGCATGTTGAAGAAAAGGTTGTTCTCAAATTGCTCATTCTGAAGTGACATGGCGCACTGCTTGCGTGGCTTCATTGCACCATCAAGTCCTTGGAGAAACCTTGGTGTGGTGTACTTCTGACCACGAACCATGTTACCATAATTCCAGGATAAAAATGTCAAGGACTCTGAGCTGGCCAATAAGTTAGTTCCATATGGTTCTTCTATTCTTCCTTTAAGGAACCTTCTGCACAGCTCTTCATAGAAGGTGACAAAGTCCCAACTGGGTCCCTTGGGACCATATAATTCCAGTTCCTTCTTGAGTTCCTTCTTCGTATCCTCCAATTCTTCTCGAGCATGACCTGCCCTTTCAAGGGCCCTTGGATCGACCTGATACCTGCCATCCAAATAAATGATTCGGTCATCATTGATGAAGAATCTCTTCAAATCATGCCCTCGTTCATGTTCATAACAAATAGGTGGAGGTACTGGACAGACATTTCGAATGGATCGAACAAAATCATTCTCGTTGATCCTTGACTGATAATGAGGATGGGAAATCTCATCTTTTCTGAAACAAACATGATTCAGCAATCTTGCATGAGTTTCCCTGAAGCGTAGTTGGTAAAAGCCAATACCTGGATCTCCTGTAAGCTCTCCAAGCAACTTCAAAGGTGAAGTATGCAATTCATAGGTATTGTCAGCTTTTGTTGTATCCTTTTCAACAACTACTTCAGATGGAAAAGATTCTTGGATTTCAGCCTCCAATTTCTTCTCTTCATCATCCTCTCTGACCTCTTTTATTTTCTCCACCGCCTCTTTCTTCTCTTCCATGGTTGCATCATCCTGAACTTCTTCATGAAAATGAGGATCAGGAATTTTATTCAGGCGGCTTTTCTTAGATTTCTGTTGACCTGAAGTATCATCAAGGTTAGCATCCATCTCACCTGATGGTAAGTGCGATGCAGTCGAGTCCTCACCTTTCTCTCTTGACAGAAAGTGTGGTGTTGACTCTTCCTTGGCTTCCTCCTGGTCAACTTCCATCTTTTGTTCCTCTGAAGGAAAAACACCTGCTTCAAAAGCTTGTTCTGCAACACCCTTGGTGAGCAAGTCCTCTACAAGATTTTCTCCTTCGGTTCTTGGTAGAGGTCCTGAGGTCTCATAAAAATCTGTCCTCTCTGAACTGAAAGTTTCTGTCGCCTTCTCATTGTCCTTTTGATCCCTGAACAGGTGAGTAATCTTCACAGCTTCTCCCTGTAGCACCTGATCACCTCTTCTATACTTGTCGACAATGGAGCGCCATACTGGAACATCATCATCATCAAAATCAAGCTCCATATCATCTGCCAACAGGTATGAGATGTTTTGAGCTGCCTGTTCTTCTTCTTCATCACGTTCCTTGGCAAGCTCCTCATCCTTCTGGATCTTGAAGATACCCTTCAGGATGTCTTGTAGTACCTTTAAGTTCAGCTTCGATGATGACTCATACGTCCCTGAACTTACAGGCTCAACTACAACACGAGAGCAAGAAATCGCCTCCAAAAACTTGGAATTATATTGGCGTTCAAACTCTTCCTTTTTGATCATCTCATACAAGGGATCAGAAACTGCAACACGCGCCTGAACATAATCACGAAGTTGATAACATGCATGTTGCACAAATCTACTGTTGGAGTTGTGAAGAAAACTCTCCAAATGGTTTCTGTCACGGTCAATCAAATACCACACAATCCTTGCAGAAAAACGGAATTTCTTGAAGTTCATAGCAAAATGTGTATGATACTTCTCTGGATTCCTTTCTGCTTGTAAAGCGGCCTCTGAAGTCTTGTAAACAGGAAGTTTTGTGTGTGGATCCAGGATCATAAAATCTTCCCACAAGATCGAGTGGTTAAGAACCCACTTGGGAAGCACCTTGATGAAAAAGTCACAAACAAGTTCAGACAAAAGGTGCATGACACGGCCAATCTCTTCCTCCTGCTTGAAACGATAGTGCAATTTGGCAAACAAGGGACTGTTGAAGGCTTCCTCCACTGTGTTGCCAAAATTATCCCACTGAGGTTCTGGAATACCAAAGTTCCAACCCAGCAATTTGGGATCTCTGCACATATCCAAGAAGCTTGAAAGTTCTACAGAAGCA